ATTGGAATCTTGAAGAAGTTGGCTCAAATACCAATGAGAGAATGACTCAGCTGTAGCATAGACGAACTGGCCATTGAGAGTGAGGGCAATTAGGCAAAAAGCAAAATTTCCTCCTTCCATGTCCTTTAGGTGGGCTGCCAAGATTTAGGGTGGGACTTCCTGCTTCAAATAATCTGGTTAAGAAAATCCCTCTCAGGAGTTCCACCAGCTTGGTTTTTTGTTTGTTTGTTTTGGACTTCTTTGCTTTTATTTTAAGTATATGAGTGTTTGTTTGGGGATACCAGGCAAGCGTGCATGTGCATACACACATATATACACACACACACATTTACATACATACATACATGCAAGTAAACACTGAAGTATCCTCTGAGGATACCAGGCAAGCACAGTGTGTGTGTGTGTGTGTGTGTGTGTGTGTGTGTGTGTGTGTGTGTGTGTGTGTGTACGTGCATGCTTGCCTGGTATCCCCAGAGGCCAGAAGAGGGCATTGAGTCCCCTTGAATTGGAGTTACAGGTGTTGTAAGCCACCTGATGCGGGTGCTGGGAACCAAACCCAGGACTTCTGGATGAGTAGCAAATGCTCTTAACCACTGAGCCAGCTTTCTAGCCCCAGCCTGGGTTTTAGTTGATCTGAGATGTAATCAAGTCGACAGCCAAAATTAACCATAATGATGGCAAAAACAAACTTAAATAGTTCATGACCAGGAGACAGAACCCTGTAGAAGACACAGGAAGAGATTCTACAAATAGAAGAGGAAGAAACACCTCATAAACCACAAGAGCTCAGGAAAAACTATCATGAAAAACAATAGATGAACAATAGAGAACTGAGGAAAAAAACATATTCAACTCAGTGAACCAATGAGCTCCTAAGATGAGTAAGAGAACAAGAAAAAACAGTGTTTAAGCAAACCAAGATAACAACCAACAAAATTATAGGAATCAGTAAATACCAATCAATAAGAAGCCTGACTATTAATGATTACAACACATTCGGCATGGTGAATGACTGTTACTCCAGCCTGAAATTCGAAACAAGAGAATGGGAATATTGCTACAAGGTCAAGAGGTCAAGGCCAACCTGGCCAAGACCCTGTCTCAAAAAAAAAAAATACACCTCTCCAATTAAAAGATGCAGATTACTATATCTACACAAGACCCAACTCTGTGTTGTCTATAAGACACATCTCCTTGGCAAAGTGAAACAGTGAAAGGATGGAGAAGTGCGTATCGAGCAAGGGGATGTAAGACACAAGCAGCAAAGGCCATTCTTATATGACGAATAGAATGCCAATCAGTGTCCGAGAAGAGATAAAGGTCACTACGTATTAACAACAAAAAAATACAGTAAGAAGATAGAATGATAGTAAATATTTCTTCACCAAATGTTGGCATACCCACTTTCATAAACAAAATACTACTGGGCATAAAAAGATAGGTACTAATGCAATATAATATATGACTTCAGCATATCACTCTAACAACTAATATATAGTTCATGCAAGCAAAATATCTACAAAGAAACTTCAGAGTTAAACTGCACCACAGATAAAACAGACTTGATAGAGAGCTATAAAGTATCATATCCAGCAGTTACTACAGAATGTACTATCTTCTCAGTAACCCAAGGAACTTCCCCTAAAATAGATTATGTCCTTAGCCATAAAGCAGGTCATTAACTTGCTGGCCATTAACAAATATCAAAACATAAAAAATAAAAATAATTTCTTTGATAGTATCAGATCATAATAGAATAAAACTGGATATCAATAACAAAAGAAGCTAGATAAACACATGGAGATTTAAACAATATATTCTTGAGCTCACCACTGACCCTAGACCTGTTTCCTACTCCCAGTAACACATTTTTTCTAACAAGACCACACCTACTCCAACAAGGCCATACCTCCTAATCTTTCCCTAAACATTCCACCAACTAGGAACTAGGCATTCAAATATATGAGCCTGTGGGGTTATTCTTATTCAGACCATCCATCGTAGGCACATTCTGCTAAGCCTGGTGATGGCCTGAGTTCAACCCCCACGTGGTAGAAGGAGAGAACTGGACACAGATTTTCCTTTCATCTCCACATGTGCACTAAGGATCTCTCTCATATGTACACACACACACACACACACACACACACACACACACACACAATAAATATAAAATGTTTAAAAAAATCGGTAAAATAAGAGCTCAAAAAGTAAACACCAAAACCAAAAAAAGTACATTCAACAAAAGGCAAATGAACTGAACAGTTCTCAAAGAAGCACAGATGTTCAGTGCATTAGCAGCAGAATGGCTCATTAGGTAAAGGCTCTTGCCATGCAACCCTGCCAATCTGAATTCAATCCCCAGAACCACAAACAGGCAGGAGAGAACTGATTCCCCAATGTTGTCCTGTCATCCACATGTTTACTATAGCATGTAAGTGCTCACATACATATATCATATACACATATAATAATAAGTAAATAAAAATTTAAATGGTAAAAAAGTACGAAAAAATACTTGATATCCTTAGCCATCAGAAGACTTCAAATCAGAGTACATTAAGATTCCATCTTTCCCCAGTCAGAATGGCTGCTGTCACTAAATCATACAAGCGCTGATGAGGCTATAGAGAAAAAAGGAACACTTATCTACTGTTGGTATGGATGTAAATTAGTGTGCCACCATGGAAACCAGTACAGGGGTTCCTTAGAAAACTAAAAGCTGCCGTCTTCTCCAGCAGTAGTACCCCCTACCTGAAGGAATCTAAGTCAGCACACGACACAGAAACCTGCCCATTTCTGCGGGGTGTGGTGACACGGGCAAATCTCTGAGGTCGAGGCCAGCCTGGTACACAGAGCGAGTTACAGGACAGCTAGAGCTACACAGAGAAAACCTATCTTGAAAAACCAAAATAAATAAATACATGTAAAAAGCCCATCATGGTGACCCACGCCTTTAATCCCTATGCTCCAAAGGCAGAGGCAGGCGGATCTCTGTGAATTCAAGGCCAGCCAGTTCTACATATCAAGTTCTAGGACAGCAACAGTGCAGAGAGTTCCAATTCTAGGACCGCATAGAGATACCCTGTTTCAAAAAGGAAGAGGAGGAGGAGGAGGAGGAAGAGGAAGGGGGAGGAGGAGGAAAAGAAGAAGAAAAAGAAAGAAAATAAGGAAAAAAAAAAACCTGCTCATTCATGTTGTTGAAACACTATTCACAACAGCCTAGATATGGCATCAGCCTAGGTATCCGTCAGTAGATTAACAAATAAAGAAAATGTGGTATATACATACACACACTATTATTCTGCCATTAACTAGAACAAAACTATGTTATTTGTAGGACTAAGGATGAAACTTCTGTGAGTACTCACGGGCTCACCAAGATGGACTTCTGTGGAATCCTCACAGTTGTCCTTGGTCCCTCCCTGGGGTGAACAGACATCTGTTCACACAACAGCAGGTCCCAGTCCTTTACGGTTGTTGGCCTGTGTGTCAGTTTACTGCAGCAGCATGGTAGCACAAACTGGACGGCTTAAGCAAAGACCATTTTTATTTTCTCGAAGTTCGAGAAGCTATGGAAGTCCAAGGCCGAGGAATCAGAAGTTTCTTTGTTAGGCTACCTGGGTTGGCAAACAGATGGCCTATTCTCACCACATTCCAGTACTCATTCTCTATGTGCATTCATCCCACTTGTATGCAAATTTCTTGTTAAATAATGCACCAGTCAGATTGGATTAGGGCCCATTATAATTGCTTCATTTTAACCCGTATGCGTTTGAAGGCCTCATCTCCAAAATATAGTCAAGACTGTGAGGTGTTAGGGATCAAGGGCTTCAGCATAAGGATTTGAGGGGATATTATTAGCCTGTAACAGCCAGTGTTTCAGCTGCTGGTAGTAGTAGGTGATTCCCAGGCACGGTTTCATGTAATCCTTGCAGAAGTGCGTCTCTCCCCTCTCTCCCGGTCCCCTTCCTCTTCTTCCTTCTCCCTGTCTGTTTTGTTTTTCAAACAGGGTCTCACTGCGTAGCCCTGGCTGACCCGGAACTTACTATGTAGACTGGGCCGGCCTTTAAATCACAGGGATCCGCCTGCCTCTGTCTCCTAAATGCTGGGATTAAAGGCGTTTTCTTTCTTTGGTTGGTTGGTTTTTAGTTTTTGAGACAGGGTTTCTCTGTGTAACCCTGGCTGTTGTGGAACTGTAGACCAGGCTGGGCTCAAACTCAAGAGATCCGTGTGCCTCTGCCTCCCATGTGCTGGAATTAAAGGAGTGTGCCACCACCACCCACACATGAAGGCGTTTTCTTACCTTGGTCCCTAGCATATAGGTTGAGAAACAGTTTAGAGCCGGCAGTGGTGGCGCACGCCTTTAATCCCAGCACTAGGGAGGCAGAGCCAGGTGGATCTCTGTGAGTTCCAGGCCAGCCTGGTCTACAGAGCGAGATCCAGGGCAGGCACCAAAACTACACACAGAAACCCTGTCTCGAGAAGAAAAAAAAAAAAAAAAAACAGAGAAGAAAGCAAGCAAACAATAACAACAACAACAACAACAACAAAAATCCAGTTTAGAGCAATGGTTCTCGACCTGCGGGTCGGGATCCCTTTGGCAAGCCTCTGTCTTCAAAAACATTTACATTATGACTAATAACAGTAGCAAAATTACAGTTATGCAGTAGCAACGTAAACAATTTTATGGTTGGGTGGGGGGCTCACAGCAACATGAACTGTATTAAAGGTGGCAGGACTAGGAGGGTTGAGACCCACTAGTTTAGACAGTCTAAACTTTAGAGGAACATGGGAGGCAGTCCTCCATTATTAGATTTAATTCTCAGGACAGACTAAAGCTGGTCACCTGATTTCGACACTATCATTGCAGTACCCAGGACACCAACTTTGACGCCTGGGCGTGGTCTCTCACGACCCTAAGAGACGCGACTGCAAAAAACGCAGCCGTAAAGAACTCCACGAGTCGTGAAGAGCCGTGGCGCAGAAGAGTTGCTTTACGGCTAACCCCGCTTCTGGCGGGCGTGCAGAGCTTGCGGGTTCTGGTTAGCACACGTGTGGCGCTGTCGGTGACTCCTTTGGTAATCCCTCTTGGTAGAGCGGCAGTGAAGGACGGAGTGGCAGCTTCAGCCTAGGCTCCTGAGCCGATGGAGCTTGCAGCTGAGGAGGAAGGGACTCCGGGAGGAGGTCCCCAGAGGGTGGCGGAGGGGGCGCGGCCGAGGCCCGAGGCTGGTGGGGACCGAGCCTGGGACTTAGGTGGGAGCCCCGAGGCTGGCGATGGAGAGGAGAGGAACGGACTGACAGGAATTACGACCACAGAGGATGTGGAGGAGATAAAGGTGGACTTAGCTGTGGTGAAGCAGGAAGTGGTGGACTGGTCGGATATAGACGGTGGCATATCGGACAGCTACTGGGTAAAGCCGGAGGTGGAGGGCGGGCCTGAGGTGAAGGATGAGAAAGTAGGCGTGGTGGAGGTGAAGCAGGAGGCAGATGGTAGCCTGGTGGTGAAAGAAGAGCCGGTGGATGAGCCGGAAGTAAAGGAGGAGACCGTGAAGGTGAAGGAGGAGGTGATGGACTGGGAAGGAGTGAAGGAGGAGGACCTGGACGTCAAACAGGAGTTGTTTGTTGGTCAGAACGTAAAGGAGGAGCAGATGATGGATGGAGTGCACGTCAAGGAAGAGGCCTGCCTCAAGAGAGAAGTGATGGATGACAGGAAGGTGAAGGAAGAGCCTCAGATGAATCCCCGAGTGGGCTGCAAGAGGAAACTGGCTATGTCAAGGTAGGGCAGGGAGAAAACCCAGATGGAAGATAGAACATTGAGTGGAGGAAGCTACCGTAGCAGCAGAAAGTGGAGTAAATTAAACCAGGCATGAAGTGGGGTCCTGAAGTCTGAATGGTGGTGTTGAGTCGGGCTTGGAAAGGGCACTGTAAGACCACAAATTCTGGAACACTGTGTGAAGTGGCAATGTCCAACATGGTCAAGTTAGGGAGTGAAAACTGGGGATCAGAGACCTTTGTGGAACCAAATCTTGTTAGCTGTGAAACTCTTGTGTAGAGCCTCTGCCTACTAGAGAAAATAGGAATTAGGGGGACAACTAATAAAAGCCAACAATGAAAAAGTGGGTGGAGTTAATAGGCAGTGTCAACTTCCTCTTGAATTTTTTCATGGCTCCTATGAATGTTTATTTCTTGATGTAGTTTCTTTCCTGTGCTCATGTGATAGCACAGAGGACCAAATTGTGATCAGATTATGTCTCAAACAGCTTGAGCTGACCAACCTGTGCTTTGGTTGAGAACAGAAGATGAGTAGTACATTTCTGGGTTATTTTGGTGTCCATTCTAAATTAGATGTGGACTTTCTGAAAGGGCACACATTACTGTTAGATTTGGCTGTGTCTCATCCTATCTTGTTTTGCTGGTGCATATGCTTTTAAAATATCCAAATGTAGCACACACAAAAGCTCCATGAATTACAAATTTAAAAAAATCACCAATTCATGTTATTCTCTAATTACAGTAGAAAAACAAGTCAAAATGAGATTTTTTTTTTTTTTCTGGAGCTGAGGACAGAACCCAGGGCCTTGTGCTTGCTAGGCAAGCGCTCTACCACTGAGATATCTATCTATCTATTTATCTATCTATCTCAGATATAGATATATATAGTTTTCTTGAATTGCATTTCATTATAAATGTCATTTGCAAACATTTTCCTAATTTTCAGTGACAGCTATCAAGTATTTTATCAGCCTTGCTAACCTGCTTTATTTGCTTTGACTACCTGCCTCTAAACTGTGAATATCCTTGAGTCAGCATTCAGAGACTGTAAGTGGACTTCATTTTTGAGCATTAAGTCACAGGTGAACTTTTACAGGTGTCAGACTTGTGGGACAGAAGAAGCCAAGTACAGATGTCCACGCTGCCTTCGATATTCCTGCAGGTAAATATGTAACTTTCTGCCTTATTCCCTTCCTGTCTGCACTTACTTACTTCAGATAGAAAACTGCTTCCTGTTTCTTTCTGCAGTTTGCCCTGTGTAAAGAAGCACAAAGCAGAACTGCCTTGTAATGGAGTCCGAGATAAAACTGCTTATGTCTCACTACAGCACTTTACTGAGATGAATCTCCTCAGTGGTAAGCTGTTTTGTACACAACACATAAATGCTTTCTGGCCGCCTGGCATATGTCACTTGTTAATTTCTCCATTCTGAAATTCCAAGACTATCGATTTTTGGAAGACGTGGCAAGAACAGCAGACCAGGTTTCAAGAGACACTTTCTTGAAAAGACCAAAGCGCAAAAAATATGTAAGTATTTCTTCTGATCTTTTCAAGTTAAAATGTCTTTCAGTTGGTTTATTCATGTCTCAGCTATATCAAGTGGCCACCCTGATCTGAGACTGTCCTGGTTATTCGAGATAGATCCAAAGTACTTACCCTGAGGAGTTTGTATTGTAGTGGGGAGTTAGTTAAGTGGAAGAGTCCGGATGTGTAGAACGAAAATATAATTTCTTATAGATTTAAGTGCGTGTAGAAAATTAGGATGAGTCAAAAGAGTAAAGAGAACAGAGTGCTGTGTGAGGGGCATGAACTGTTCAGGGTATGATTGTCAACACAGTGATGATGACGAGTGTCTCTGGGGACAGTCAGGCAGTGATCTTAATGGTGTGAAAGAGACAGTTGGAGACATTTGGCAGGAAACTTCTGGGTAGAAACATAGGCAAAAGTGGCACAAGCCTGGACCCGGCACTTGGAGGAAGACATAGCTAGACTGACTCAAAAAAGATGCAGGTTGGGAACTGGTGTATGTTTGGAGGGTTACCAGGGGCAGGATAACTGAAGAAAAATGAGTGGGGAGGAATGCTAAACAGGGGCTAGAGAAGCCTGCAAGAGTTCCCAAGCATGGCCGGGCAGCGGTGGCACACGCCTTTAATCCCAGCACTCAGGAGGCAGAGGCAGGCGGATCTCTGTGAGTTCGAGGCCAGCCTGGGCTACAGAGTGAGTTCCAGGACAGGCACTAAAACTACACAGAGAAACCCTGTCTCAAAAAACCAAAAAAAAAAAAAAAGAGTTCCCAAGCTTTCTAAGCAAACAGGAGACCAAGGGAGGCTGGGTGTGGTGGAGCCTTTAATGCAGCATTCAGGAAGCCAAGAGGCAGGTGAGGCTTTGAGTTCTAGGTTACGCAGTGGTATGTGAGACCTTTTTTTGTTTGTTTGTTTAAGACATGTTTAAGACAGGGTTTCTACTGTGCAGCTCTGGCTGCCCTGGAACTCTCCCTGTAGACCAGGCTGGCCTCAAACTCACAGAGATCCGCCTGCCTCTGCCTCCTGAGTGCTGGGATTAAAGGCGTGCACCACCACTGCCCAGCTGAGACCTTTTCTCAAAAAAGAAAAAAAGTCTGGTGATGGTGGTACGCACCTTTAATCCCAGCACTCAGAAGGCAGAGGTAGGCAAATTTCTGAGTCCAGCGAAGTCTACAGAGAAAGGACAGGCAGGGATACACAGAGAAACCCTGTCTCAACAACAACAACAAACAAATAAATAAATAAATAAATAAACAAACAAAACAAGGGAGGGGTTGAGCATGTTTTTTCTTTAAAGGAGCTCTCTTGAGCCTGGAGAGGTGGCTCAGCAGTTAATCGAACATGATCTTGCAGAGGACTAGACTACACAGAGATGTACAATCCCCTGTGACTCCTGTTCCAGAGGCTCCAGTGCCCTCTTCTGGCCTCCAAAAGCACCAGGCACACACATGATGCACATACATGCATGCACACAAACACTCATACACATAAAATAAAAAAAATACTTTTTGAAAAAAAAAAAGGTCACTTTGGCTGCTTGGTTGGGGTCAAGGAACCACAGTGGATGACTGAAGCATGAAGTATAATTTCGGGGGTGTATGCCCTATGAGAGATGGTGGTGCTTTTAGAAATAATTGGAAAGTGATGTGATTCCAGTTTTGACAAAAAGTTAACAGGACCCTGTGTCCTGACACACTTAGTTTTCATAGTCTTGCTTCCCTTAAATACTAGGACAATTAAAGATTACACACATAAGGTATTTGGTACCTGAGAAATTCATTAATACTGTGATTGAATCAGAGACACACACCTATATTATTGGTACCAAGATGATAATACACATGTAAAAAGTTACCATGTGGTATTACTTACTACTACTCAGGTTAAATTAAGCATCACTAAGTTCTATTTTTATTGTAAAATACAGCATATGTTAAAGAATCATAAAATGGAAATATAGTGTAATGATTCATGATGTAGTGAGAATCTGTGTAATTGCCACTGGGCCTGGGACAAGGACGTTCCTGCCTCACTTGTGTTCCTTGTCACCTTCTGGTGTGCTGTGCTGTCCCAGTCTCCTTTCCAGAGTTGTCTTGGAACCATACCTTTGCTCACTCTTGTTCAGAGATGAGGTTTCATAACAACCACAAACGTTTTGAAACAACGCTTACTATTGGGAATGTTTTGGGTTTTGAATTACAGTCTGTAATTCAAATTCTAGGGTTTATACTTAAACGTGGAATTATTTTGTTGCGCTGTGTTCCTGTCCTTAGTTTGACTGGATGTTAATAAAACTTACTCTGTAGTGATTATTACCAGTTTTCTTTCTTCTTTTGGGGTGAGAGATTCACGACATGGTTCCTGGCTGTTTTGAAACTCACTCTGTAGACCAGGCTGGCCTAGAACTCAAGAGATCCACCTGCCTCTGCCTCTGCCTCTACCTCCTGAGTGCTGGGATTAAAGGTGTGTGCCACTACTATCCGGCATATTATTACCAATTTTCATTCTGACCAATTATGTCTAAATTTGGTCCAGCTTTTAGTTTGTTGTTTGTTTTTTTTTTTTTTAAGTCTGATTGCTTTAGGATTGTATTGGGTTTTAATTTTACAATTCACTTACTCCTTTTGAGAAGAAACATCTTTTTATTGGACATTCAGATTTCCTCTTTGCGAATGTGTGCTTAAGCCTTTTGTTCATCTTGTTCAGCTTTCTGTTCCCTTTGTCTGGGTGTCAGTGTGGGCAGACACATGGCGTGGCACATGTGTGGAGGTCACAGGCCAGCCTCTGGGACTGGCCCTCTTCTTTACTTCTTCGCAGACTTTGCTACTACACCAAGCTTTGTGCGGCTTCTGAGATTTCAAACTTAGTTCTTCATAGTTGGGCAGTAAACTTTACCCACCGCGGCATCATCAGCCTGTGAGCTGTCTTTGTCTTAATAGTTTGTGAGAATTCTTGGTGTTTTTTAGATACTGGTCAATACTTGATGGGATGTTATAAACTATTTTGTGTGGTTTATCTTTTCACACTTGGTGAACAAATGTCTTAATTTTATTGTACGCTTTGTCTTTTGCTTATTTATTTTTTTTTTACAGGTAGTAGTTGTGTATGTTTATAAGGAAATTCTTCCCTGTACATGGTCAGCAGCACTGCCATTCGGGTGGCCTGCTTTGAACCTAACATTTTATACCTTGAAGTTACAGAGATAATTATTTTCGGAAACTTTATAGTATTTCATTTCACATTTTTGTATTTTCCTAAAATTAATTGTTAGTGTCATTGGAAGCGAAAATGCCATTGAATTTTCCATTTAGATAATCCCTCTTTTTAGCACCATTTCCTGGAAAGTCCATCTTTTCCTAGTTTTCCCAGGGTCACATTTATCATAAATCAGGGCACCATATGTGCTTAGATCAGTTTCTAGTCTGTCTGCTCCATCCTGTCGGTCCATTTGTCTGTCTTGCATCACTGCTAGACTCTCATTTATTGTAGTCTGTTTCACTCAGCACGTGGCCTGTTTGCCTGAAGAAATATCGTTCCATACTGAGCAACCACACCCTTTTTCTTTTTCTACTGTTATTCCCTACATGACCTCTAAATTGTTGTCTACATGATGTTGGACAAAAGAGATCATTTAACACAGACTGAAATGTACAATATCATGTGCAAGTATTATACCATTTATGTAAGGGACTTGAGCATCTACAGAGCCTGGTGTCTGTCCATCACTGGTTCTGTGGCATAAGAGTATGCTCTCTTGAGGTCAGGTTTATTGAGTGTGTTATTTAAATCATTTCTAGCCTTCCTCACTTATGGTATTCCTAGGGAGCAAAAGCAAAGGGACTTTTTGATCCTTGCCTCTGTTAGTTTTTGCTTGGTTACTTTAAAGCTAACATAGTGCATGCATCAAAGTATTTCTTCCTTAACATTTTGAGGCTTCCATCTCTGCTTCTAAGCCAGTGATTCTCAGCCTGTGGGTCATGACCCCTCTGCAACCATATGGAAGCGCAGATATTTACATTATGATTCATAACATTAGCAAAATCACAGTTATGGCATAGCAGCAAAGACAGTTTTATGGTTGGGGGTCACCACAACATGAGGAACTGTGTTAAATGGTCGCAGCAGCACTTGGAAGGTTGAGAACCACTGCTCAAGCTCTTTGTCTGCTTTTCCCAATATTAAAAACTGTATCAGGGCTTTGCATGGTGTTTGTGTGGTGTGTTTTTCTTTCCCACTTCCCTATCTTAGGCTTTGGTAAGTCTTTTGTGTCACAGCTCTGTTCTGTCTTGAGCAAGTATGATAATTTGGGGTTTTTTTTGCCAGCTCAAATGTTCTTAAGGCAATTTTTAAATATATTTATTTTTATATATGCATTTCTCTCATTGCCTGGCTGTTTCCCGTGGAAGAGTTCATCTTTATAACTACTACTATTATTAAAACCAGAGTCTGCTGACTTACAAAATTGCATATGTTTTGTTTTGGTTTTTGGTTTTTTTTTTTTTTGTTTTTTTTTTTGTCATTTTCTTACTTAGCTGGTGATTGCTAACCCTTGCCCATGGACTTAAGACTTGCAACTTTGCATTACAAGTTTTAGATTCGTATCCATTTAACCAGAAAACTTTTTTGTCCTTCCTTTGAGTGATCTTTTTTTTTTTCCTTAGCTCAATAGAAGGCTCAGTTGAGATATTTCCTTTGAGACTCTAGAGTTACCTCCTTGAGCTTAATAACCAACTCTCAGGTGGAGTAACATATGTTAGAAGCAGGTGTTTTTATATCCCATTTTGTACCCTCTTGGTATAGTTTTATTTGATTATACATTGTAAGGCATTCTGAAATTAACTTATGTTTGGCTTTGTTGCTAGCTGTTCTTTATGAAAAATCGTGCCCGAAAGCAAGGTATTTTCTTGAAGCTTCTACCCAATGGATTCAGCAAGAGGAAAGAGAACTCAACAGTTTTTGATCATAGGTAGGTCTCTTACTTTTACTATATAGCTATTCTAATTTGATGGGGAACAACCTCTAGGATTTGGTTTACTTTAGAACATTGGTAACAAAAGTGTGATCTGTAAACTTACTGGATGTCAAGATAAACTGATATTTGCATGTCCTCCAACTAGTAAAGATTTAGGAATGTGATGTGTTGTCTTGCTGTCCTCTGAGAATCTTCTCAACTGTTCATATGCATAACAAATCAATAGATGTACTTGTGATTTAATCTCAGTAGGTTGGAATTTGATGGCATATATTTCTGATAGTGCCCCGTAATTCTTATGGCTGGGTTGGAATTTGATAGCATGCATTTCTATTGGTGACCAACAGGACTCCTTCCTGGCTGAGAACCATGCTTTGAGTAATAGTGTTGTGAAGTTTTCTCTAAGACCTAGAGCATCATGGGAGTATTTGGAGGGCTTAAATTCATATCTAGAAAGGATGATGAAAGCTAGGTAAGTTCCTTTGGTTAAATCAGTTCCTCTTCTCACTCACCACTTTGTACCTTGATGTAAAGTCAAAAACCCTGAGGGCCTTACTTCCCTTTAGCTTGTAGACAGATCTCAATGTATTGCCTAAAGTGGTCTCAGCTCTGACTCAAGAGATTTCCCATCTGAGCTTCCCAAGTAGTTGGGACTGCAGGCACATTACCGTGTATACCCTCAGCCTCTTCTTTATGAGCTGATGGGCAGGGAGCTAGGTAGGCTGTAGTGTCCCTTTCCAGTTTCCTATTCCACACGTTGAAAAGTTAGAATCATCAGAATCATCATGCTTTATTCTGATAAAACTTCCACCATTTCAAAAGATGTTATGTAATTACAAAATGACATTATTCATTTAGTTTGTGCTTTAAGACATAATATTAGTGAGATTGATTCTTCTTGTTCATGATTGGTTTCCAAAGCAAAGTAATTACTTACTGTTACCAAATGTGAGATTTGTATACGGTGAAACACTGAGAATTGGGCATACTTTGGTGAACTTTAGAGTAACCAGTTTGCGCCTTGTACATAAGATGTGTGCTGTGTTGTGAAGGAGTCATTTAGGACTATCATCCCAGATTAGTTCTTATGGATCCGAGTGTAGCATTTTGTCTCTGGATAAGGAATGTGGAGAAGATTGTTTGGTCTGTCACTGGGTTTAGTAACTTCATTTTAATTATGGACCACTCCAAGATGGCAAACTGAATACTTCTGCCCTAATGTTTTGCTCGTGATATTCCAGAGATGTGAGGCTGGTCTTGTATTTGTAGTGTTTTGTCTCCAGTAGTTATAATACAGTTTGATTGAAGTTATTGATCTATACTGAGGACATTTAAATATGTTGAATTTGTATTACAAACATTCTGTATTACTTTATACCTTATAGTTTATGTATATAACCATAAGGGAAATATGTTCCTGATTTCTGTTTTTCCTTGGAACTAAAGTAATCTGGCTTCAAATCTCATTGCAACTAGCTCTACAACCCACATCTTTCCGTCTGTGCAGCATTCTCCTCATGAGGGAAAGGGGAGTAGGTTTAATGTGTTTACATGACTAGTATTTATGTTCACTCAAAAAAAAAAAATCCTTGCTGAGTGGCGGTGGCGCATGCCTTTAATCCGAGCACTCGGGAGGCAGAGCCAGGCAGATGTCTGTGAGTTTGAGGCCAGCCTGGTCTACAGAGTGAGTTCTGCGACAGGCTACAAAACTACACAGAAACCTTCTCTCGAAAAACAAAAACAAAAAAATCCTTTTAGGGTCCTTTTTTTTTTTCTTTTTCCTTTTAGATTTCCTTAGTGGGGGCCTGTAAAAATGTGAGCCAGGCATGGTGGCATGTCATCACCCCAGCACCCAGGAGACTGAAATAGGGTGACCATAAGTCCCAGGCCCCACAGGGCAGCATAGCAAGGCCCTGTCTGAGAAAAAAAAACTTGTAATGTACTTTCCAGGTTTGTCTGAGAATAGTTTAGTTTCTTTTCTTTTTATTTATCTGTTTTTCCCTTGAGGCGGGGTCTTAGCCAGCCCAAGCTGCCTCAGACTCACTGTGTCGTTGACTTCTGATCTCCTGTTTCTTTCTCTGGAGACTGGGATTGCAGATGTGTGCTGCTAGTGCACCGCTTTCCAGAAGGAGGGTCCTACTGTCACCATCTGCCCAGGGATGATGATACAACCCATATAGGAATAGATACTCCCACATCAATCATTAATCAAGAACGAACTTCAGAGACGTGCCTACAGGCCAATCTTATGGAGGCATTTTCTCAATAAGATTCCCTCTTCCCAGATTTGTCTAGGTTTGTGTCAAGTTGACAGAACCAACCAGCACCATCACATCTACCCAGTTTTTCATCCATCGTTTTTGGACATTTCAAAGTTAATGCAGGCATCATTATACTGGCCTCTGCATGTTTCAGCATTATTAGCTGGATCTCAGTAGCCGTTTGCACTCTTCCTTTTGATGCAGTAGAGTTACGTACTGTGAAATGTATAGATCTTAATTAGATGTGTGGTGATGTTGGGGCAGGAGGATCAGTCCATGACCTCACCCATACCATGCAGGTGCTGTGCCACTGAGCTGCATTCTCGGCTCTATAACGTAATCCCTGTGACTGCATGAAACCTGACTATCATACCAGAAATTTCTTTCTACATGCCTATCTCTTTCTTCCCACTCCCCAAACTGAGGTAAGTTTTCCTCTTTTGCTGGTGAGTAGAATTTTCTAGTTACCTGTCCACTGTTCTTGGGATCTCACCTAGAGGTCTTCAGCTTATTGGGCCAACCTTGCCTGATGTCACAAAGAGGGCCTCTTGGTTATTCTAACTTGTTATGGGTTCCTAGTAAGAGGCTTTTCAGGTTGTCTCCTCTGCTTTATTGTCCTAAATATTTAACGCAAGCAGTACAAAGGTAAGGGTAAGTGGTAAGAAAGAGGTGGTAGAGGAGGTATGTAAGTACCTGTTAACCAAGCAGTTTTTCTAGAAAGAAGGTAGTTATCATGCTGTCCAAATTAAATGTACTGATATACTGATTGCCCAAAGTATTAAGTGACTAAAGATAGATGGAAAGCCATGCTCACTGCAGACTACCACTGTGTAAAATTTAAAATTTTTTTTTAATGGCTCAAATTTGTAGATTTCTCTTTAGGAGATGCAGCCTATGATCTGAATGCATTACTGCACTTAATTTCTGAGGGCTTGTCACAGTGACAGAATCACCATCATTCAGTGAACTTTCAAACAGGAGCTAGACTAAAAATTTAAAATTTATATGCATACATGCCATACAGTAGCTGCCCACTCTCTCTCCTCCATCTATAGGGTTTGTATTCCAAGCCTTCCAGCAGATTCCTAATAGTGTGAGTAATCCCAGACCTTGTTTTGTTTTGTTTTTTTGGTTTTTCAAGACAGAATTTCTCTGTGTAGCTTTGCGCCTTTCCTGGAAATCACTCTGTAGCACAGGTTGGCCTCAAACTCACAGAGATCCGCTGCCTCTGCCTCCCGAGTGCTGGGATTAAAGGCGTGCGCCACCACCGCCCGGCTAATCCCAGACCTTGTATGTATAGTTTGTTTCTATACATACATACCTGTGCTATCATTCAGTGTATAAATTAGGTACATCAATAACAGAACAATTATGGCAGTATACACTATGTGAATGTGGTGTCTCTCGGAACATCTTTCTGTTCTGTTCTCATCATGGTTGTGGTGGCATGAGATGATAGAGTGCCTATGTGATGATCAGCCCAATAGCTTCCTAGTGCACTACATCACTATCAGTCAGCACATGACACTCTTCACTGACGCTAACTCCTTCAGTCTTGACTAAAGACAGGTGCTGAAGTTATCACTTAAGTGTAAGGTATACTAGCAAAGTCGGCACAATTTGTTTTTACCCTGGACCTCAGGAACTCAGCAGATGACTTTTTACTTTGCCCACCCACCCCTTAAATTGAAGGCTTTCAATGCTTTATTTAAAGAAAGCGTTTTACACTTTTGTTGTTGTTATATTCCCATTGCTAGCATCACTACTCTTACACTTTGAAGACATTGTTACATAAAATAAGCATTGAGTCAGTAGCCACACTGTAACAGTAGTGACTAAGATAGCAATTCCTGGTGCACAGGCAGGTAGCATACACAGTTTGGATGTGGCAGACAAGGGATTGTGTACGTCTTCTCTAATGGGACAGAGAGCAGACTTCATCTTACTACTCAGAGCTGTGCAGTTGGAAACTTAGGAACTGTTTATTTGGGGAGTTTTCCACTTGACTATTCAGCTCACAGCTGTGGGTAATGAAACCACAAAAGTGAAGCCACTGGCAAGAAGGGACTAGTGTATTTTACAAGGGCAGCAACTTTGGGGAAGGTGTCTTCGTCTCTTTTCTGTACTGTAACAGAATAATCACTGGCTAGGTAATTCTTAAGAGAAGTTTTGGCTCGTTCTTCTAGGGGCTTAGAAGTCTAAGATCTTGGTACCAGGGTGTGCTTAGTGTCTTCTAAGGGCCTTCTTGCCTCTACAGCACGTAGAAGACAACACATAAGAGTAGATACATGCTGGCTTTGCTCTCTTCCCTATGAAACTGGCATTGCCATCATGGGGCTCCATCTTCTTACTAGCCACATCTAATGCTCATCACTATCCAGAAGTAGGACAGTAGGTATGAATATAATGGTAAAGTTTCCAACATAGGACTGTGGTGGTCTGTGGTAGGGGGTAGTTGAGTAGAGCAGGTATGGGTAGTGTGTACTGTTTTGTTCCTTTCTGAAATTTAGGCTGCATGTGTTTGTGATTTTAAGAATTATGTTGACAGGTATACACAGTTCATTTATGTATCTGTGGCTGGAAGTTTAATATTTAAAAAGTATTCTGACACCATCATGTGAAAATCTGTGTTTTATCTACAGTGCCGGCCTTGCATTGTCTTTTGGATATGGCTAGTGGAAACTGTATCTGACCTGTTCCTTACTTGAAGAAGAGAGCATGAGAGTGGGTGTG